TGACGGTAGGCATTTTTGACTGGTTCCTGTTTGCAAGGAAAATGCTTTTAGTCCTTATCCATTGAGTTTTGCCTAAATACTTTTCATTGTGTTGACGAAATTCACTTCTATTCCAATTTTGCTGAGCGTCTTTATAAGGAAGGGGTGTTGAACTTTGTCCAATGCGCTTTCTCCATCAACTGCTAAGATTGTATAGTTCTTGTATTTTTGTTTTGTTAATATGGTGAATTACACTGATTGTTTTTCTTATGTTGAACCATCCTTGCATACCTGTTATGAATCCCACTTGGTCATGATGAATTCTTTTTTTGATGTGCCTTTGGAATCTGTGGGTTAGGATTTTGTTATGGATTTTTGTATCTATATTCATGAGAGGTATTGTTCTGTGGGTTTCTTTCTTGGTAACATCTTTGCCTGGTTTGGGTATTTGGCTTATGCTTGTTCATAAAATGATTATGGGAGTGTTCCTTCTTTTTCTAGTTTTTCTTAAATATTTTAAGTAGAATTGTTGATAGATCCTCTGTGTTTGGTAGCATTCTGCTATGAAACAATTTGGTCCAGGACTTTTCTTATGAGGAAGTCTTTATATGACCTTTTCCATTTCTTCTTTTGTGATGAGTCTGTTCAAATGTTCTACATCTGTTCGGGTCAGTCTGAGTAGGAAATTTGTCTATTTCCTCCAGGTTTTCAGACTTACCAGAGAATAGCTTTTCATAGTAGTCTGATATTATCACTTTAATATCATCAGGTTCTGCTGTGATGTCTTGTGTTGACCTCTATCATTACTTAATGGAGTTACCTATGTCTTCTTTTTTCTTTTGTTAAGTTTGCTAGTGGTTTGTCAATTTTATTGACCCTTTTGTAAAACCAGCTCCTGTTCTTATTGATGGTTTCAATTGTTTTTCCATTTTCTATCTCATTGATTTCAGCTCTTGTCCTTATCATTTCCTTTCATTTAGAGGCTGTAGGATTAAATTGTAGTACTTTTTCTAGTTAATGAAGGTGTTGAGTTAGAGAATTTTTTTTTCCTTTTTTCCTTTTTTTATTTTTTTTTTTTTTTTTCCTTTTTTTATGTGTATGCCTATTGCTATGAACTGCCTCCTGAGGACTGCCTTTGCTGCATTCCAGATGTTTTGGTAGGTTGTATTTTAATTTTCATTTATTTCAAGGAACTTTCTTATTTCATTCTTTATTTCATTTCTAACCCAATCGTGTTCTAGAAGAGACTTGTTTAGTTTGCACATGGACGACTTTGTAAGCTTTACCCTCCAGTGGTTAATTTCTAGTTTTATGGCATCATGGCCAGAGAAGACATTTTTTTATCATTTCAGTGTTTATAATTTGTTGAACCTGGGTCTGTGTCCTAATACATGAACTTGAGAAGAAAGTTAATTAAGTTTTAGTTGGGTACAGTACCCTGAATACGTGTCTTTGCTGTGTTTCTTTTGAGTTGGCCTATCCTTTGGTGATATTGGCCTATCCTTTGGTGATAGTGATCTATTGAAGTCTCCTACCACTATTGTGGTGCTATTTCTTTTTTCAATTATGTTAATTGTTGTTTTAATATATTTTGTAGGTCTATAATTTGATGCATAAATGTGGACCAAGGTAATGTCTTCTTGATCTATTTTTGCCTTTAATCAGTATGTAATATCTTTCCTTATCCTTTATGGTGTTTGTTATTCTGAAGTCTATTTTATCAGAGATTAGTATTGCCACTCCTGCTCTTTTTGTGGATGCCATTTGCTTGATATTTTTTCCCCCAGCCTTTGATTATGAGTCTTTCTCTGCATTTTTTAGATGTGTCTATTGTAGGCAACATATTGATGGGCTTTGTTATTTTGGTTTTATTTCCCTTTCTGCTACTCTTCCTAATTGGTTCACTTAGTCCATTCACATTAAGTGTCATTACTGTCAGTCCAGGTTTTACCCTTGCCATTTTTGCTGTGTTTCTTTTGCTGTTGTTTCTGGTTAATATGGTCCATCCACTTTCCTTTGGAGTCTCCATGTGAAGCTCTGCATTTAAATTTCTTGTGGTTTTGGTATTGTTTTCACATATTCTTGAAGGTTTTTTCTCTTCTGCGAAGGATCTAATTTTTCTTTCATATTTGATGAAGACCTATGCTAGGAATAGGATCGTTGGCTGGCAATTGTTTTCTTTCAACTTTCTGTATATGTCATCCCATTGTTTTCTAGCTCACATGAGCTTCTACTGAGAAATCAGAACTTAATCTAATTTTTCCCCTTTGTAGGTGACTATTTTTCTCACACTGTTTTTAGTATTCTAGCCTTATCTTTTAACTCGTAGAATTTTACTATGATATGTATCGATGTTTTTCTACCACTTTGGTCTTAATATTCTAGATTGAATTTTCATGCATTTCTATTATTTCCATAACTGTATTGGCTGTTCCCTCTCTGTCTAGTGATGTGTTTTAAGTTCTTGTGCCTTTTTATTTATAATATCAATTCTTTCTTTCATCTTCTGCATTTTCTTCTGCAGTTGTTCAAGTTGCTCCTCATCAATATATTTCTTCTGGATCACTGTCTCTGGTATTTTCTCTCTTAATAACTTCCATTGTTCCTTCCACCATTTGCATCTTCTGTAGCTGTTCAAATAACTTTGCACCAACATAATTCTTGTCATTTTCTCTGAGTATTAATTGAGTCTGCTTTTTTAAGGGAAGGTTTATTTTGTTTTTCCATGATGACTGAGGCAGACTGGTGCTTTCTTTTTTTAATGTAGGTGCTTTATTGACATTATGTGAGTCTTTTCTTAGTAGGTTGTTGTAACTAGATAATGTCATAGGGCATGGCAATGTTTTGTGAAGGACCTGTATATTAGTGTTCCCCTTTTGTTTTCCTGATGCAGGAAGACTGTTGCCTTCCAGAAACCACAGCTCTACCCAACATCTTACAGTTGGCCTTAAAATCCCACATGATGTAGCTAGACTGCATTGTTTGAGACTAAAGTATCTTTCTTCTCTACTGTATGAGACAGTTCAATGGCAGGTCTTGAGTTCATTTTTGTACTAGTTGCAGGTAATGTTTTGACAGGATTTTGCATATTGGTGACCTCCCTTATAACCTATGAAAGGAAATGGACCAATATGGTGGTGAAAGGTGGGGTTCGGCGATGGGCATTCCCCAGTCCAAGGCGGGTGGGTTGATTTCTCTGTCATCTTCGCCCCCTCAGTGGATCTAGTGGTGGGGGAGAGGGATGTAAATGACTCACTAGTTTGTGAAAGAAATGGACCTTTGTGAAAGAAATGGACCAATATGGCAACAAGTGATGTCATTTTACTGTGGACATTTCCCAGCCCAAGGGTGTGGGCTGATCTCTTTTCAAAGCTCCACTCTGTCAGTAGAGCTGGTGTCAGGAAGTGACATAATTCACTCCCTAACCTGTGAAAGGAAAGGATCAATATGGCAGCTGGAGGCAAGGTTTCTTGGTAGGCATTCCCCTTTGTAAGGGGAGTGAGATGATCTCACTACAGGGTTCTGCCCCATCTGTGGAGCTGGCTAAGGAAGTGGGGTGGAGAAGGGGCATAAATCACTTTCTAAACTGAAAGGAAACAGACCGATACGCGAGTGAGAAGCAAGGCTCAGTGGTGGCAGATCCCCAGTCCAAGCAAGTGCGCTAATCTCTGCAGTGCTTCCACCTGTCCTTGGACCTGGTGAAGCAAGGGGCTTAAATCATTCCCTAACCTGTGAAAGGAAGCAAACCAATATGATGGTGGAAAACAGGTCGGTGTTGGGCATTTCCCAGTCCAAGGGAGCCGGGCTGATTTCTCTGCAATGCTTCTCCCAGTCAGTAGAGCTGTTGGGGGACTAGGGAAAGGGGGCGGAGCGAAGGTGTAACTCAGTCTCTAACCTGTGAAAGGGAATGGACCAATATAAGTGGCCTGAGGTGGGTTTCAGTGGTGGGCGTTTCCCAGTCCAAAGGAAGCTGACTGATATCTTCAGGGCTAATTGATGAAAGAAAATGGACCAATTTAGTGGCAGGAGACAGGGTTCGTCTTTCATCTTCCCCTAGTCCGAGATGGGTGAGCTGATCTCTCTCCAGGGTTCCTCTCCATCTCTGCAGCAGCCTGCCCATGCTTGACATGTCTTGGGTAATTGATTTCTCACTCTTATACCTGCCTGGTGAGGGCTCCTGACCCAGATGCAGACATGCTGGGGAGAGATGCCAACTGTAGGACAGAGGTGAGGGGGCAGGGCTTGGCAAGCCTCACGCTGACCTGCTACCTTGTGACCTTAAAAAGCGTTGCTCAGCTGACCACCATCTGGCCTCTCCTATCTCCTCCAGCCAGAATCGTTCTTGAATGCCTGCCAGCACAAGGAGAGAGAGAGAGAGAGAAGGCAGTAAAAGTTAATAGATAATATTGTTGGTGTTATTGTTTGTCCTGTCGAGTCAGAACTGGCTTGTTCCTGACCTCCAGTGCGTTTTCAGAGGCAGTAAATCTCACTTGAGAAGACTGTCCGTCCTCCTGTGGAGCAGCAGTAGACACATAGTAAAATGAATGAAAGGAAAGCAAGATACAGTGAGTGAATGGTCAGGCATTGTGAACATTGTAATTAATGCTATTAAATAAAATTTGTATGACTGAAAAATCTAACATGCTTTGTAAACTGTCAATTCAAATTATAATAAAAATTTATACAACAAAAAATTGAATTTTTATAACTACACAATAGCTGCAAAAATGCTGATTTCTTTTTTACAAAGTAAACCTTCACTTCCTTGAAAAAATTAAAATATTACCACTCATAATTTATTGATCATAATTCAACAAAATCTAAAATAATAAAATAGCTTAGCTTTTATAATTCTTTAACTGTTTGAAAATACAAAAATGGTTTATGCCCAAATAACACTTGTTTCAAAGACAAAAAGAAAATGAAAAATATATTTGTAAAAGTACTTAAGTGTTATTTGTTTGAATATTTACTAAATTTCAGTGTATATTAATTTTAAATTCTCTTTTGGATTTTGACAGTTTACAAGACTATGTGGATAGGCAACATTTATCTCAGTTTTGTGATGTTGAAGAAGATATCACTAATGCTAATAAATTCATTGATATCTTCTTTCCTGATTTAAAAAGAATGAAATTGGAAAAGATAATGGCATTAATTAGACCAGATCTCTGTAAAGAAAACAAAGGTAAGAAAGAAAGATTAACTAAGGTTTCTCATAGATAAGAATTCAAATCATTACTTGTATGAATATATAAGATAACATAATTTTGAACTTAAGAAAAGACTAGAAATAAAAAATTTAGTAATGTTTTTACTAATTTTATATTTAAAAGATTTGAACATTTCTCTAGTTTAGAAGTTGCAAAATATTTTCTAATCTGTGTATTTGTTATAATTGATACTAACATGAAAGGAATTATTTAAAAATGCTAAAAATTAGTAAGTTTTAACTCTTTAATTCTGCCTATAAGAAACACATTTAAGAAACAAGAAAAAAGCGGCGCTGGCTGAAAATCGCCTGTGACTTCATCCATAGCCACTGGTGAGAGTCAGCGCCCAGAGCCATCAGGGGCTTTAAGCTC